GTGACTTGGCAAACGTGTCGAGCAAGATAGTTAACCTTGCCAGCCAAGCGGTGTACTTAAAGCAGAGGTGTGACTTGGCAGCGTTTAGTGCCAAGTGGTGTTACTGCTTTGTTGTGGCTAGGTTGTGTTGTCTAGCCTTTTTTAATTATTCTGGAAACACGTAATGTCTATTAATATTAGGCATCATATGTACATACAAATATGTAATGTGTTAAATGTGTTAATATGTTTTATAATGTTATATCGTCACGATCATAGCACAATTGCCTAAGTCATTTTTTGGGGGTTTTTTGGAAGTTAAGAGTTGAAATATATAGCTTAAACAGTCTAATAATGTGGCAAATCGCCTTAAACCAATCAGAAAGGAGTTGATTTTTAGTTTTTTCACTTCTGCTTAAATCCGCTTTTTTACCTATATCTTATTGCTTTTGACCTATATTCTATTGTGTCTCAACGGTAATACACATATCATTTCTAAAGCAATATATGAAAGCATCTAAGTAAAAAGATGCCAAAAATAAGCCAAAGTGACGTAGCAAAAGAAATACCGAAGTTATTCATTTTTTTTTTTAGTTTTCTCAAAACAAGAAAAAAATGACTTAGACGATTGTGCTATGATCGTGACGATATGTTTATAGTTTGTTTCTTTGTCTATTTTATGCAGTGGTTTCAAAGTGGTTTGACTTTGCCATTGTAAAGAGCAAGTGTAATGTGTACTTATAAATATCTTATGTGCTTTTTGTTGTGCGTTATCGTTGTAATATTGTTGTGATGATTTGTGTTGATAGACAGTTGGCTTACCTTCCCGTTGGTGTCTATCGTTAAAAATGATTAATTGGTAGTTCTATTCATGGAGCTTACTGTTTCTAATTATTCACTAAAAGCCAAGACAAAACATATTGTTATAAACACAATTTGTTTATATTTCAATTTGTTTTTTTTTATATCTTTAGTGTTGTGCATAGTTCTATTCTTTAAAACATTTTTAATTTGTTTTTTAATAAATGTTAATTTTTTCGTCTTTAATAAAAGCCAGCATGAAATAATGTCATTGAACAACACCATTAAATATTGCTTCATCAAAACAGCAACTGCAGTTTGCCAAAAACAGGTTAATTGTTTTCCTGTTTTAAAAATGTTTTTCTTTTCTATTATATTTACTTATCTATTACATTTTTCTTTTAGACATCATGTGACGTATTTATGCGATACAGGAGAACACAAATAATAATTATGTTTTGTTATTAAATAATAAAGTTTTGTTAAAAAAAATATTATTAAATAAATTTGTGATTTTGTAATAAACGGAAGGGTCGGATTTTAGAAGCATAAAATATTTGAAAATTTCTGTTTAAAATGCATTTTTCGTCTATGATGGAGAGACCTTTATGTAATTAACTAAAATTTAATTATGCGCACAGGGTTAACGCTAACGCTTTTAAGTTAAATAGAATTCCTAACGCTTTTAAGTTAAATAGAATTCCTTAATAAAGGAGAGGG